ACGAAACGATAAATCGAGAGAGAAAATTCATTGAACATCGTCATCAGGAACTGGTTATTGCTCCTCTTATTACGTAAGCAGATAATAATTAGAGTTATCAGTGAGGTATGAAAAGTAACTTCCTGTTCATCATTAAAAATTTTGTAGAAACTACATTGTTGCAATAGTAGCCGTTAATAACCGCTAAATAATACGTGTCAATTATGAAGAATGTGCAGGATGTGTGATATAAAAAATATAAAGGGACAATGTATCAAAAAACGTCGACGACAAGTGTCGAGTTAAGAACATCTTTTTTGTCTGACCAAGCACTGACCAATACCACTTAACTAGTCCGCTACAACATACACTCATTCGTTGAACCTGCAACACAGGTTTCCTTCCTAGACTTGTTATTTCCAGTGAAATCAACCGTTAAACAGCTGATTAAGAGAGATAGCAATGTTTGTTAAATTTATATCAGTCATTGAGACTATAGCATTACTATCATCTCGGTTCATCGCGCGAGGTCTATTCATTATCCGAATATGAAGTGTGAATATCTTCAAAAGCATTCGAGCTCGTGTTCTGCATGCTCATGACCACTGAATCATGTCACTCTGACGGCAAATGAGTGACGTTCCGTCATCAGACCGCGGGACTGTTCACGCAAAGGTCTTTGCACTTGCTCCGGTCGACACACAAGCTCGGTTGGACAGAGTTTCATGGCAAAAAGTATGAGGACGCGCCTTCATTGGCTTTAATGGGATAGCAAATAATAGGCTGACAGGAAATTTGCGTTTTCGAGTCTCGCGCGGGCGCGCGCCCGCGTGAAGAATCGCGAGGAGGAAAAGGGCGCGCAGGAAATTCTCTAAGCGAGATGCTCGTTCCCGTTGATTCAATAGAAACTATTTGCACTGCCATTAGACGGTATGGGCTCTCGCGCTTCGCGTCGGACGGCGCCGCGGCCTGTAAACACGCCGGGAGGACCGCGAGGAGGACGAGCGGAGGCCAAAAGGGGGAAGAGGAAAGAGGAACGAGCGAGGCTTAATGGCTCGCGCCGTTGCCAGACGGAGAGATACATACTCTAAATTATCGTTGCAACAGGCGTTTCATTACAATTGCTAATAAATGGCACGCGGCGATGCGACGCGGTTTATGCGCGTACGCGAACAAACCGTGCGGTTTCAAAAGACACGGCTGCGGCGACCACGTCTTCATTTCGTGTTTCATAAAGGACACGTGAGCTTCCGAGTTTATGCGAATAAATTATGCAAACGCTACAGGCCGAGCCTCTTGTCTTTTCGGTCGGACAATAAGAAAAAGTAGTAGCATTCCGCGAGTGTCGCCGGATAAAGGCCTCAGTTGTTTAACAATTCCTTGCCATAACTTAACACGTTTATCACGGTTCACACTCTTGTTATGAGAGTCAAAGTACAGTGAAATATTATTATCAACACTGGTTGTTATTCGAGCGTCGTTTACTCGATCACACGTTGTTTAAGCGTGCAATGCTATATTTATCTTTTTATAGAATACGTATGTTCTTTATCATTCAATTTTTTCAATGAGGATCTCTTAGATACTTTTTTAAGAACAGCGCGATAATAACGTGACTGCGCTCAGTGTTTGACTTGACCAGTCTGCACGAAGTGGCCGGGTAAACTTCCAGAAGCTGCTAAACGTTTGACTATTTAGTTTAGACTATTGCCAATGGCTACTGTCTGCCGTTGTATGAACTTTGCGTAGGAAGAAAACCTATTGACCAATCGAAAACATTCGATTCTTCGCTCTACTGCAATTTTCTTCCTCCATTATTTCTTACACACGTCCACGGTTTCTCGCATCAAGTAAACTTATTTTCGAAACTCTGTCTAAAATCCGTTCGCGCGAAATAACCGTTGCCCGTCTCGGAAGTTTCTGAAAATCGACCGGCCGTGTACCGATCGCCGACGATGGATCCGTTCAATTTCCGGCTTCCTCCTTCGGCGGTTGAAATTGCATTCACTCTCGAAGACGCTGCACACGCCATCCGTGCCTGTGAGGCACAATTTCCGTTCCACTTCCGGAAATGGACCCATTGTCGACGTAATCGGAAGACAACAATATCATCGACGATACGTATCTATCTCCCTTTTCTCTCCTCTTCTGCTACTATTTCTCCTCTTTTTAATTAATGATCATCGTTATTCTTCTCGTTTAACTCGAATCCTTCTTCCTTAATAAAGAAATTAAAGAAGAGTTATATGTATCCGTTTTACGAAATAAATCGTTGTAACGCAAGCCTGCTAATTTTCCCATGCGAGGAATCAGCCTCATTACTCTCAGATTCGGATCGCTTATTGGTTACATATATGTGGGTATGTAAATATCAAGAAACGCGAGGGACATTGCACGAGGCGGTTGGTATAATCGATGCCTCGGAATTTATGATCTTTAATAACGTCGTCTTGGCCAGGTGGTCGAAGCACTATCGCTGGGGAATTATCGGGATCGTCAACCGGCCTATCGTGACCGAACGAAAGCGGATTCGGTACTCGATGCTCGTTTTGCGTTTTGACCGGTTTCCAGCCCTCGATTCCCATTCCACGACTTGCTTATTTTGCTCCGATTCCTGCGCTACGATAAATAGTTACAGCTGATAGCACGTTGAGGCTTCCATGTAAGAAGCTGTACCATCGAACTACGTAAACCATGCACTGTTCAATGATATACACCGTACAACATTCAATAATATAGAACGTGTACTATTAAATTATGAAAACTACATGTATCCAATGATATATACTAACAGATAGAATTTATAATGGTTTAATCAAATATTTTCAGGATTCTAAGTACAACGGCCTAAACTATTTATTAATAAAAAAAAATATAGCGATATCTCGTACTGCGATTGAACTATTATATTAAAAAGGGATTCGTACCGCGATTGAAATATCAAGCACAACAGGCACGAGGCTTGCGAACAAGCTGCTCGTACTAAAATAGTAAATCAGGCTGCGTACGCGTGTACCGTGCGCGTACCGGCGTGTATTGTATTCATACGGCGCAACGGGTTACAAGCCCCGGGTAGGGCATACACGCGCGTACGGTGTACGGTTTGATGCATGCGAATACGTATCCGGATCATAGGTAAATTAGTGCGAGAATTAGTGTGAGAATTAGTGCGGTACGCTCACCGACACACGCTCGCGTTAAGAGAATGGCTGGCTCGTTGCATAACGTTAACCCCGCGTATCGTGACTTGTAAATGCGGTGTACGTACGCACGTATGAAGACCTTACGGAAAATGCAAACGTATCTCACTGAAAAATGAGGAATAAAAAAAAAACACACCTTCCGTTTTATGTATAATAATTTGCGATTTGAAAAAGCGGAATCATGTACGAAGGAAAATTGGGTATCACGTGTGTTGAGATAACAACAAGATTTAATCTCGAATATCTGCGGTGGGTTACAATCAAGAAAATGAAGCGTGCGTGAAATAGGACGGGTAATTTCAGTGATCCGACGATCAGACAGCGAATAAAGGCGCACGGAGGATTATCATCGGTTAAAAAATGGTGGAACCGGTGGATATTAATACGCGACATCCGTTCTGGCGTAGCGCGTAAGCGCAATACTTTCTTTAATTCAATCGCTCTTTCACGGCTTCTATTAGTCGCGAAATTAATTCCCGATAAAATCGTTCGCACGCCATTAAACGGAGCTGCGGTTCTTATAAATACCGCGGCAGTACTTACCGGGTACTTAACCGGCTATTTTAACATATTTTAATAGTCCGGTTGCTTAATATGCAAAGTAACGTGAAAACATTATGAAACGAGAGCAAAATGAAAGGAAAAACGAGCCTCACCGAGCGGAGGAGTGACCATAACGCGGGTATGTATGTACTCAGTGCCCACCGCGTTGGATATATGTATGCAGATGGATGCGTCCACCGCATATGGGAGCACCAACACAGCCAGGATTTCCTCGTGTTACGCATAAATGATATATGAATGCCATTACGAGCAGCGAATTCGCCGCAATGGCACTGTTATTCGTATCTAAGTATCAACTGTTCGATAATCCAATTAGATGCAGGTACGACAAGGATTGTAAAAAAAAAAACAATTCTACGTGAGAAATTATAATCGAAATTGCAAATAACGTGCGTATCCTGAGGATTTTTTCATAAGCTGTTCGAACGGTACTGACCATTAATCATTTCGGTAAATTACACTTATGCTGTTCGTTAGGCGGATGAATGAAAAATGCAACGCGGATCGAAGGAATTGGGACAAAAATAATTAGCATTCACATTACACCGAGGAACGTGTGTTTTTTTATGGAAGCATGAATTATTTAAACGATTTCACGTTGCGACTGTTGGACGCGAAGTCGTATATGAATATTGATCGCTGCGTAGGTGAGATTAAATAAAAAACATTCTTATAGAATATATGTATAGAATTCAGTTAAAAAATGCTTGAAATAAGATGACTGACGAATCGCTGATAGTATCGATATTTTCGTAATTATTATGGAAAACAGGATACGATTGGTAAAAATGTATGAGATTATTCTATGTGAGGAGATAAAATCTAAGTATACACCTTACGCGGAAGTGCGTACTCGATTGATGATAATACAGTTACAATTACGGTTTCGACCGCGGAATGATAAGCTGCGAACGGGCGAGCATTTAAATTAATAAGCAGTTTTGTATAACTGTTCACTGATTGTTGAATTAAGCGCGTATAAATTAAAAATATTTTTCATCTGGTTATTTTTATGGTTAACGCATAGGAAGGCAACCGTGGCACGTCGTTTCGTGAGTCAATGCGTATGCGGGATAAAGCGCTAATTGGTTTTCATTTATCTAACTGTACCTACACCGCGATTTTAAACGAACCGATTGAATTGAAAACGGATAACCACGTGTGGTCGCGTTTTTATTTTAAAATAAAATCTCTTCTCGTTCGTATTGTTTAACGAAGTAGTAAAATAACAAAAACGGTTTGTGTGTAACGTACGTGAAGACCTCAACGACCGTGTAGAACGAAATGGCCAAAGCGCGTCACTCAGGCTTACCTGAAATCAGAATTAAAATAAAACCACTTAGATTATCTGGTGAATAGCAAAAATATCTATTTCTTAATAGCATAATTAATCTTCGGTAAGAGGTTTACCTTAAAAATTTGTCGACGGGTCAGAATTAATCATTCATCGCGCTATTGATTAGACTTATTTATAGCATGAATAATACCGATAGGAAAAATCAAGCTCAAATAGTTATCTATCTCATGCGTAGAGTGGCTCATCCATCTAGCTTTGAAAAAAGTGTACAAAGGAATCTCGGGGGTCGCTAGGCGTGCCATTAACCCGTCACCCCGAGACACTTCCTCGGCCACCAATCACCATATCAAACTTCCTTGAGTCGAACGGGTCGAACTTTATTCGACGCGCGTAGATACGTTCCGCTGCGCGCTGTAACGCCAAGTCAGGCCAAGAATCCGAAAGGCCGAGAGCGATCGATATATTACCGCGGTCCGCGCGATCGTAAACGAGCCTCGCCGATAAATTGCCAGGCGTCCCGTCGACAATGTCGTCGTTACCGCGGGAACTCTAATTTAAACGCTATTAACCTTTGCCTGGTTCGACTTAACGATGACAGGCCCCGGGAAAGCGGATAGCCGGGGCATACGTAAGCGTGCATGCAACGCTCGGGGACGAGCACGGTGACAGTGATCGAGCCCCGAGCCGCGTGGAACACCTTTCGATAGCTATCGAGTGTTAACGAAGTCAATAGGGCGATGCCTGTCCTGAACAGGGACAGAACAATAACCGATCCGATCCCGATCCCTGGCGTGGGTTCCTACGTACGCTGACCGGTTGCTCTCCCGTCCAATGGGACGTCAGCGCGAGGAGCAGGTGCGACCGTGACTTGCCTTCTACCTATGTATGTACGTATAATTACGCCCGAGCGTGTCTCTGTAGCTCGATGCTACGTAAGCCTGTTCTCTATTCCGTTCCACATGCTCCCTTGTCTAGCCCGTCAACCCCCTCGTTCAGGCTGACCCGTAACAGTATACTGCATACTCGTACAAAAGGAGAGACACGTCGAATAGCCAATTCTAATGTTTTAGAGAGAGAAGAGAGGCACGATAAGAGAATAAAGACTCGAAGTATTTTTATTTAAGTATTCTGTTAAATTCTAGTAAGATCGATTGTGCCAGGGACTCTGGATTATGTTTGTACAACCTAACGTATGTATGAGCTTGCAATTAGCTAAGCGCACACTGCGTGCGGTCGGCTGATTTTCGTCTAACAGAAATTTGGACCTACGACCGTGGGAAACAAGTGCTAAGTCTCTTGTTCAAAATATCATTGGCAAGTATCATAATTTATAATGATTGGTACCCTCGTATTACCATACCAGTTTGAACAATTTCCGGGCGGTAAATCATTGTAAATCCCGATACGCGGGGCAACATTAGCGACGTTAACGGATGAAAAGTTATAACGTGGAGCCCGGGTGGAATTAATTAAACGGAACCGCGTGGTTATTGCCGGGTCGTCGTGTTTAGTGGGATGACATTCGACGACGTTAATGAATATCGTCGCGGCGGCGACGACCGGAGAAGAGCAACGAGACGCACGGCGTCGCGACGTTTCTTTTGCGTAACGGGAGGGGAGTCGGAAACAAATTGGACCGGCGGTCGTAAAGTGTCCGTTCTTCCACGATGCAGAAATAGAAAGAGGAGGAGAGCGCAAACGAAACTTCTCGTTGCAGATTTATGCGCGGCTGTAAATACGCAGCGAAGAACGGGTTGCGACGATCGACATAGGCGTACCTGTCCGAGGCCTGCGCCTCGGTCTTTTCTTATTGGGGATCGCGACAGGATACGAGAAATGATTGTGGACGGTGCACCGTATTATCCGAGAGCAACGATCCTCGCCTTTAATTCACCGTTTAATCGATAACGCGACCACTTATGCGACGGCCTTTTAATGACGCCATTAGTAAATTGTAGTGATTCGTTTCGCGTCACTCTTTTCCTTTACCGCTGTGTTATTGTCGAATACAGATTATAGGCAATATCTTCGTGTAACGCAATGATACAGTTGAAAAGATATAGAGGCTGCATAACAGTTACTAACTAAAAGATGACGATAGCTATTAATCCTGTATCACTCGACAATCCAAATGAAATAATTTTTAAAAAACTACATTGTTCAAATGTATTGTACTTAAAAATGAACACTCGTTTCGTTTCAATCATATTAATCATAATTAGCAGTAATTTTTTTTTTGTATAAATTACAATTATCGCTCGTACAAAGTACAGTCTACCGTCGATTAGCCGTATTTACGCGAATCGCACGAAATTTCATACTTCATTGAACGTTGCGAAATCGATTAGAACGCCGGCGATATAAACTGGCACGCTGTATTTTAGCCGCTACTTCCTTGGTACTAGTTAATTAAGTGCAAAGCAACAATTTCACGCGCTGACAATTTATCGTTATCGGTTACCACCACCGGTAGTCGAGTTACACGCGTATAAAGTAGTGGAAGAAGGGGTTAGGTAATCATCGAAGACGCGGCTCGGCTCTGATACCTGTGACAAGACGAGTTACCCGGCGAGATTGTAAGTTACAAGCGTTCTTTCAAGGATCAGTTTCCCGTGTCGTGAGAGATTTAAAAAAAAAATGCTGGAAAAAAATGATTCATATTCTTATTGGATGGAAACGACTACTATGTTTTGCTGTTGTATGTCAATAATTATAATCTACGCTCAGCGATGCGTAACACGATGTTGATATAAGAGTTATTATTCTAAGAGTTTAATGGAAAAAACAGATCCTCGACACTTTTTCCTCCAACATCCTCTACGTTCAACATCTTCCGATGTATATAATACCATTTATTATTTTAATCTCCGAGACTATCGCGTACAATACGAATAAAGGAGCCGTCTGTACACTTGTCCATTCAATATCTTTTATCTTGACCAACCAACGGTCTTCCGCGAGCGGTAATCAATTTCTGAGAAACCGAACGACTTCCTCCTTGGGGAAAGGATTGACCGCGAGAAAAGCGAAACTCTTTTCCTGATTCGTTCGAGGAGATAAGGAACCGGACTCGTTAACGATTCGTCCTCTCGGAGAATCGCTGCGAGGGAAGGAAGCGTTCTTGACGAGGTAATTATCGGGGCCGAGTCTCGCTCGTGTCAGCTCTAGGGGCAGGTTGCACGCGTGGATCCGCGACTACCATCGACCGCTACAAATTACAAGTTTTCGGGCTGGAACGACCGCGTCCTGGGCCCGGAGTCTTTGCATGAAAAATTACACGCCGTTTCGGAAGCGGCCCGCTTCCGGTTAACCCTGTCCGCATTCACGGCTGCACGCGTTCACGGACAATTTTCGTGCGTGCCTCGGCTCACCGAAGATGGTACCGGACGATAAGGTAAAATGGTGCCGACCAACTGGTTTTCCCAGTTTTCTTTTTCTCACTCGGCTACCTGATCTTGTTAGATCGCGCGTGTTCACGCGCTTCTCGCGAATCTAGTCCACGGATTCTCTTTACGAGTTCACCGCATGCTTAATCCCTTTGATTATCCAATCTGGTTCCAATCTGGTTCTTACAGACTTCGATAAGTGAGATAAGAATAATTTTGCAATATTTATATATAAGTGAAAATGAATTCGATTAGAATTAAATAATTTAATATGATCGCATGTATCATGAATTCCACCATGTCTTTCGAACATCATTTTTTCAACTTCAAAACAATGGATACATCTGCTATCGGTTCAGATGATTTTATGCAAGACGCAACGGCGTAGCTTATTTCTACTCGTTCGTCAGTGGCTTCTGAATTCTTAAGACGTAGCTACGTCACCGATATGCCAAACGTCCCAGTTTTCGCGGTCTGTCATTAAACCCGGGCGACGACCAGTCTACCGCGTTGCGATAAATCTGAACTGTGCGTCTCCACGCGGCCGCTCTCGGTCCATCGCGACGCTTTGATCTATTCTTGTTCCCCGGGCGAATCAACCTGCGAAATTTACGAAACCGCGCGTCTGCTGCTTCGCCCTGTCCTCATGAATCTTTATTGCGAACGAGCAGGGAATCGTAAACGGACGGTGTCCACTCGCGGACTGAAGAAACGAAACGTTTAACGCCACGCTGGGTACAAATATGATTTACTGGTTGTTCGGCTGTCCGAAACACAGACCTCCTCTCGATGTTTACGTGCGCTAAATAGTAATTTACTCGACAGCCTGGAAAGTGAAACGTGTGAACTGCAAATCTTAATAACCTGGATTTTGTATAGTTCGTAATTATATAGATGATTTATATTCATTTCTGTATGAATATCTACAATGTTCCCAGATGAACATTATTTTTAGACGTGTCTTATTTAAAGTCCAGTACACTGACTTTATTAGAAGGCCTGACACAAAATTTCGTTCACATACGAAAGAACATATTTATCTATATATTGTAATAAAACTGTTAAACAACAAGTTATTATTTATTATTATTTAATATTTCTTGATTCATCTTGTATGATCTGTGATATATTGTAGATACAATAAAATCGGTTTTAAAGAAATATTGTTGGCTACGTTTTTGTGGAGCAGAGTTCAGGTGAACGAACCGCGGAACCAGTTTCTGACCGATTCGCGCGAATTTGCCGGGATCACGTCGCGATAAAAATTGCAGAGAACGATGCTTTATCGCCGAGCCGGAAGAATGTCCGCGGGACGATAAAACCAAGCGAGTTTCGGCCGTGCAGGCGACAGGTGGAAGGCCGTGGTGAAAAAAGCCAGTTTGAAAACGAGAAACGATAAAAAAAAAAAGGCTGAAGAACAAGGGCCAGGAGGAATACTTATCTGGCGAGTCGCGTGAACAGAAAATAAATGAATTGGAAGAAGTGGCACTAAAAGTGCAGTTCGTATTATTAAGGATACGTTTATCGTATGCAAGCATAAGAATTATCTGATACGGATTGGAAATTACATTAAGTTTTTATATAAAATTGTACGTGCAACCTAATTGCCTATTATATTTATTTTAAAGTTTATTTCGACATTTGTTGGCTGACACATAATAATAATTATTATAGAATTGTGTGAAAAATGCGAAAAATGGAAAGAGCAATCAGCTACGTATATCGGTTACTTTGTTGAATAGTTTTATTATACATAAACTCGAACGCGTGCGGAATTAATTCACGCGCGTGCAGGCCTGAGAAAAAGTACGTAGCGCGACTTTGAAGTATGCACAGGTCTCGAAGAGAGGCGCGTGCAAAATATCGCAGCAGGTGCGCGTTCATCGGGTAACACTTTATCAAACACGTTTTCCACCTAGCCCACCCGTGCGTGCCTGACTGCGTTGTACACGCATGTTCCGCTCGTCGAACCGACTCGGGGACATATTTTTACATAAAATTAATTAAGTCAGCGTCATCCGACTTGTAAATAATCGCGAGTGTCGAACTCGGTTCCAAACAGAATGAAAGAAAAATTCTGATCGCATTTTTTCCGAGAGAGAGAGGATTAATTTCAGAAAAGTTTCGATACGTGCGAACGTAGAAATTTTAATACTTGACGCGTCTCATTAATTAAATCAATGTACTAAATATACGGAGTCATTACTCTTGCATGGTACTAATTACAAGACAGCGCATAGATACAGTTCGCTAAACAAGCATAAAATCTGGAAGCCGTGGAAGCGTGACTGGATTCTTGAAGAAACTTTCGGAATAAGACGAGGAGGAAGCGACGCTGGGGCTCGCCCCAAGGCGAGTAAATCTAAAATGGAACTGTACAAAGTACCATTTCATAAATCTTGCCCGGAAAAGCGAGCAGGGGAAGGGCGGAGGGAAAAGAAAACTGTTGATAGATGAGAAGGAGGAAGAGGCGAGACGAGAGGAGCAGAATGGAGGTCCCAGCGCCGCGGGAGCACGAGCTGCTGGAAGCATTATTTCGAGGACGGTGTATGATATTATAAACCGGGAGGGGATGCGTCTGAGGAGACTCCCTTTTCTTCCTCGTGTCTACCGTTAGGCCGTTCCGTGTATACGTGAAAATATGTCTGGGAGACACTTTGTCAAAAGAGCTTGAGATAAATGCTTTCACATTGTCTATCTTAAAATATTGTAATACCAACATTTCTATGTAATAAATACTTAAAAAATTGTACTGATCTTTATAATTTCTACAGTCTAATTTATATGATAATGAAAATCCGTATTATTTTTCCCAAGGTTGGTAAAGAATATTGCGGAAAAAATAAAAGACTCTGGAACGATGCTTACGTATGAATTGCAGAAAGGGTTGAGCCGCACGAAGCAAAAGTCTGAGCGCGGGAACGTTGCTGATTTACGCGTGGAAAACGGCCGACCGGTTTTATGGTACAATAAATTTATTTAAAAGACATTAATGAATAGCGGTGCCTGGTCAAACGAGGGATCCGCGATGACGTAACCAGGCTGTGTGCATACATATATGCCGGTGAAATATAATCGTCGGCAGCGATCGCGGCGTAACAACTATGAAAATTACGCGAGCTGCTCGGCGAGATCAAGGTAACGATCGCACGTTTAAAAGATGGACGAGCGACCTAATCGCCGGCCCGCAATAACAAAGTTCGAATTCCCCGAGTGCTGCCGTTCCGACGCGTCGCAATCATATTCGCGGCAAGAAACGCAATAAACCGCGTGTCGCTATAAACCCGTTCCCTTAGAACTCCTGGAATCCGGATTGTAAAATCCGTACGCGACAACTGGGACAATCTTGCGCGAGTGCTTTCCGCCGTGTTTCGTTTGCGAAACGAACCAGATTGGTTCCACTCTCTCCGGGGGATGAATCCTGCATTCTTACGTTTTATTGCGCTCATAATTACGAAACGCTTTCATCGATTTGATTAAACGTTGACGATACAATACGTATTGCAATATCAAGGTTGAAACTGAAACATGGCAGTAACTATCAGAAATAAAGATTGTCGATGTCCAAAGGTAATTTGACTGGACATTGGAATGCGCGAATATTTCTTATGATAAAAGAAATTTTATTTCCTCGTAATATTATTAAACGATAATGAAACGTGCGCGACGACTCACAAGAAGTTGTAACATTTTATTATCGAAACAAATGCTTTACTGCTGCCTTAAAAAATTGCATTCGTAGCTTGGTTTACTGTAAGTATTATGACTTGTATTAACATCGTAGCTCTAGTCACTATATCAACTATTGTATTGTACAATAGTATTAATTACCATATGAATTATTATTTCAATCATCGTATGAAACCTTGCATCAAATACCATAAGTATTACAACAATTATCATACAAATTATTGTATTAACTTGTATGGCCAGCCATGTACGATGCAAATGACTTAAACAGAATCATGAATCAAGTAAAGTTTCCCTCGATCGTTTCTTAGTCAGTGAGATTTCTTAGATCGAGTTTAGGATCACGAGGTGCTCGTTTAGGGTAAGGGCCACCCTCGCGGCGTTCTGCCCCGTACTCGTGCCGACACTCCCTTTATCGATCCCACTACTCGTCTCTCCGTCCACCCCCGCGCGCACATCTCTTTCCCTTTTCTTTCCGTCGTCCCTTTTTCGCCCCGGTTCGACGTCGCGTCGCTCTCTCTAGCTCCGCGTCTCTCGTCCGCATCCCCCGCTCCGCCGCCTAGTCACTACCCTGGGGTAGAAGCTGGAGAACCGGTTCCTCCTTCGCAGACGCCACCAGAGAGCGGGCCATCTCTCTATGAACCCGGCCAACCAGGAACTACGTATCTGCCCTTACGAATTATCCGACCGGCTTGCCGCCCTTTGTTGCGCCCGGAATTTCGTTTAATTAAAATGAGACGTTAGGGTGGCTCTTCCTCTCAGTTCTCTTCTTCAATTGCGTCAAAGGAGAGAGTCGATTAAACGACAATTTATATTTACCTTACTGAAAACGTAACGTTAAACTTACGTATCGTTCATATTTAACGTTTGTTGTTAAATAATTCATTCCGGTACACGAGTGCGTATGCATACAAAGAACAAATAAACTATCGTAATTGACGATATTATCAATTAGCGTTGGACGTATCGCGGGGAAATGCAGGCAATGGTGTACGCAGTCTTTGTCGAGCGTACTTAGAATGCACCGTTATCAAAAGGGAACGGTAACACGCACGCGGATATGCAAATCGAGGAACGAATCGGTGCGACGAGCGGACAACAATGGAAAAAGTAATCGGCACGATCACCGTCGAGTGCTACTACGTATTGTACTTTGTTCCTCGTTCTCGTTGGCAATTCTCCCGTGTGACCACGCGGAAATTAGCCGCCGATTGCGATCTTGGGAGGTGTAAACCGGCAAAATGGCGGTGCCACAAGAAGGAAACACATTGTTCGGGGCGGGGCCAGGCCACTGGAATGGGCAGACCGGTGTTAATCACGCTATCGAAGTGAGGGATCGACTAATTAACGCCGAGTTCATCGCAAACCGTTCGTCGACAGTCGCGTTCGTCGCCATTCCGCGAATTTTTAATGCGCAATGGCCGCATCCAACTCGTTCCCGAATAAATAAATCTACCTAACTATCCAGGATTTAAATTCTAATTGATATGACTCGGTGATAGAACGTAGCGATTCGAATATGGAATATCGCTTGCAAATGAAGATCACAAGAACGGGAAAACCTTCAGCGAAAATTAGTCGACAGCCGTTCACACTTCACTCTTTCCCTAGGCAATTAAAACGATTGATCCGCTACGAACCGTGCACACTCTCATCCTATTCCAACGCTGAACAAAACGATTGAGTCGTTGAGAGAATATACCAAAGAGCTGGAAAGATGGCTAACTTTCATACTTCGCTATTCATAGGAATCTTGACTGGCACTATTTTATCGTCACTTCCGATTCCCGCCTGTACACCACTTAATAAACTGACCGACGATTCGGAGCGTTTGTACCTTCACAAATTTCTATACGACACGAGGTTCGATCGAACCTCGTAGCCACCTAGTGGCAACTGCATATCCTCTTGAAAACGGAAGTTAAACTTACATTGTAACTTACTGATTGACAGACCTACGCGTCAGAGAATAGCTAATTAGATCCGGTTTCCACTTGCCTCCACCCATCTTTCCAGCTCTACGTGTGCACAATACGATACGATACGATATCCAATCGGCACGGTCAGAACAAAAGGAATTCCCTGTCGCAAAAACCACCGGCGAGACGCGCAGAGAGAAGAGAAGAAGAAGCCAGAGAGAGAGCCAGATTGCAAGGCGTCGCGGCGCTGGTCGGCACTAGACTTGGCGTCGGTTCGTTCGTTAGCTGGACCCTCTTGCTCGCCCGTATTAATTTGCTTCCTCCTCTCCCTCTATCCCCGGCTGGGACACCCGCCCTCTCCGTCCCGTCCCAACGCGACCCGTTCCCTCGGTCATCCCTCCCAAACGGGAAAAGGGGGCTCCGGGTCGGGTCGCGCCTCGCCACCGGTCTTAGCTCTACCGGCGGCGGTAGCGCGCATGCGGACTCTGCTAATCACCCTTCGTCCTCTACCCCCTCACGAACCAACCCCCCTCCCGCCCCCCGTGGGTTCCGCTTTCCACGGGCGACGACGCTCGATGAACGCGAGCCGCCGGAAAATTAACTCGAACTAACCGGCTGTCTCTGTCCGGCTCGTTACCGGTGAATGGGTGCCGGGTTTCTCGCTCGCCCCGAGCCGTGCTCCAGACCTACTTCGGGGATAGTTCTTCGCGACCATGACCTTCCGTTCTCTAAGGACCGGGAACCCGTTGTCTAATCCCAAATTTAAACGACGGACCAACAGCGAGTCAAATAAAATAATAATGAAACGTTCAATTATCTGCAGGATGCGACCCTTCCGTTCTCCCTATCAATGTCAATATAAACGTGTCTGCAATTTTTTTGAAAAGCCATAGTAATTTTACTGACGCCTAAGTAACATACAAACGGTGTATTAAACGAGTGTGCGTATGCGAACGTCGGTGCGTATAAAAGCAGCGTATCAGCGATTGAAGGGTCGTTCACGTGACGAGACTTTCGAAACGCGTAGAGAGGGTGGCGACGCGATGGTAAACGAGTTATTGGAAAATCGTGTGAGGACGGGGACGCCGGCAGAGGAAGAGGAGGTCAGCAATTTTTCGCCTCATTGCCCGTAAAAAGGAGAGACGCTTTATCGTTCGCGTAGCCGAACAGCGAACTGAGTCACCGGCGGGAGGCTCTCGACCCGAAATGGGAAGTCGGAAGCCGGGGGGCATTAACGCGAGCCTCGTTTGGTAAATGTTGATCAAGCGGGCGCATTTTTACCCGGGCCAATTTGCCGGGGATGAAGCTCGCGTGACGCGTATCTCCCGCGCTGCGCCATCCGCAGATAAAATATCACCTGCCTCGCCGAAAGCTATGAAAATTACGCCGGAATTCGTTGCCGGTGTATGTGTGTGGTCGCGGAGGACGAACCCGGGTTCTTAGCATAAGGCAGTTTTCGGAAATTGGATTCTTCTAAAATGTCAAACGCACTATCTGCTATTCCCAGCTGATTCCTGTTGAATCATTTACATAACAAAAGCCGACTAGTGACGTACATTCGAATGAATGTGGTTTGTATAATTTGAGAAGGATGAACGGCTCATTTTCATATCAGTCGCGCATGCAAACGGATCCTTCTAATTACTTCCCACCGCAGACGTTAACGAACATGTGGAGGAGCGCGTAAACAAACACCACCACCACCACCACCACCACCACCCACACGGTCGCGTTTCAAATTATTATTCACCAGCCGCAGAGCACGGCGATGCACAATGCTGGGGACCGATTAGAATCTCTCGAATCGACGACTCTTCTCACGAGCGGCTCGCGGCATAAATAATGCAAACGCGCGAGGTGAGAGGAGGCTTCGCGCCTCTTACATAGTACTCAACTTTAATTAATCAACGACGGATTCCCTGCGCGAGTCTCCTTTCAAGCTTCAACCGGCCTGCCCGATATCGAAAAGCGATGCTTCGGTGAGTGAGAGGGCGTATCGACGCCATTGACTCCGAAAGGAAGAAGCTGCAAAAGGTGAGGGACCCGGGGTGGGGTCGGCTCGATAAGGCCGGGTTGAAATCGCGGTTCAAAGAGCTCGGAGATTCCCAGAGCGCGGCATATTCGCGGGCATAAAACAGCGAAACGCTTAGCATAGTAACATAGCGGGATGCGGGGGCGTCATTACCGTATTGATCGCGGGGGTGGCTCACCCCTTCCGTCCGACCTCTTTTCCACCCTCCCTTCCTCTCTCTCTCTCTCTCTCTCTCCCTTATGATTCTCTGTTGTTGATCAGAGTAGAGATGGAACCGAATTCAATGTGTTCAACAAATTTTCATCACAGGAATTCATTTTTCGTCGATATAATTTTTGAAACAAGGATTTTACCTTGAATTATGCGGATTCTTTTGTGATCTCATTGAAAATCATTGACCGATTTGGAAATTGCGATGGAATTATTACTTGCGAGATGTTCGGTCCCATTGCTGAATGAAAAGGGTAAGGGCCAGCCTCGAGGAGACTCGCAGAAGCGAAGAGAGGGTTGAAAGTAGGACAACGAACTTGTCGGTAACGAGTCCTGGATCAAAGAGCGCGCGGAACGATCCGATAATTTAGAATCGCGCACCGTCGCCGTCGTCCTGCACGTTATCGATCGCTACCCTTCCTCCTGATGATGACTCCCGGCGAACACCGCGCCCTCCATGATGACGCGCCCATCCCGTTAACGGGGTGCAATGATTTCGGGAATTGCCGTTCAGATTCTCTGATACCGAGTCGGGTTAATGAGAAATTTTAACTCCTGCGTTCAGAGCGATGTTGCGAGTGATTAAAGTACTTATGTAAACGTTATTTACTACTTCTTTCAATTTTTCAAAATTAATGTAATACGTATTGCAATTTTATATCGTGTAAGTGTTAATGAGAAGAAGTAGAAAATCAAAGTACTGTTTTTTTTAATTCCCGAAATCGTTTTAATACCTGCTGCATTTTCATACCGCGGATCATTGAGGAAACGACTGATATGTTATTCGAAAGGACTTTTATATGTTTGCCCAGTCGGATGATATTGACCCCGTGACGTCAAACGAACCTCGAACAGGCTTGTTTTCTTTCCGTGCCGTAACCCGCTCCTTTACATCCTCTCTGGATCGTTCCAGGACCCCGTTCGTCAGGACCGGTTTGGTAAGAATCGACCGATCACGGAGGCAAGAAACAACTGAATCACCGCGTGGCTTCGACCCTTCAACCTGAGGATCAAAAGCCACGCCACGGTCTGCCTCGTCAAGAATATTCAAAGAATCCAAAAGGAACACCGTACACCAAACAATGCCATAATACCTTGATTGTTGTATAACCAACAATGGTCTGCATTTGTAATGGTAAAAAAGAGAAACGATTATTCCATGATATCGACTTTTGGGTAAACATATAAATACTGAGGGGAGTATCATTTTTACTTTATATAATTTCATTGTTCCTTCTGTAATTTTGTTATTTCTTAAAATTCGATAATCAGAGGATATCTGCTCTATTTAATTAAATATATTTTAATAATCATTGCACTAATTTTCGTATAACTGTTCTCTCTACATACTATGACTACTTTAAGTATTTTTATTATGTAAATTCTACTTGAAGAATACAGACATCAAGATATTACTAGAATTTAAAATTGAATATAACAAATCCTATGTAAATTTATTTTATATTCATTTGCACAAAGATGAATTATTCAATGACGGTGGACAGAACCAGTTGGATAAACTAAAACTTGCACGGTTACAAGTTTTCCGGTGCAGAATTAACACGAGGAGAGGATGCGGAATCTGTACACGAAAACAGGTTACAAAGGAGTGGGTTACGTGAATCACGTTCGTGTCGCGAGCTATGCAACCGGGTCGCCTCGATGCGGCGGCAGGATCGTTGCCAAAGGAGATCGAACAATCAACTATGAGAGCGGTATTCAGCGAATGCATTTGGGAAAATTCGATAGGGTAACGCGCCTCGAATGCCGTCAATGTTCCCGTTCGTCGGGCGTGAAAGAAATATTTGTCACAAATTCCGTACACGAATCTCTTACAGCAGCACATTTTCGTTTAATCGTTCACTTGAATTGTTTGAATATTCAAGTTTTCGTTATACATTTGTTACCTAAAATAAATTCCTACTTCTACGAATTAAATTGAAAAAAATTTTCCTCGTGCACTTCACATATCTGATAATTAAACTCACGTTTTTCAATCAGTACGCTGTAATAAACGTATCAATTTTAAATAAATGCGCGAGCAATCGGTCTGAGATTTTGCATGGGAATGGAGGAAAAAATCGGTTGTGATCGTTAGCATAATAGTGCAACAAGTAGGACTGAAATGATTTAATGTAGCACGTGATTACACAGGAAATTCGCAATTTCCATACGGTCTTACCATACGAGACACCACGGTACAAAAGGAATGCAAATTGCTATGAATTCGCGTCTTTGTATGCTCGTTTTTCCGCCAAATTAAAGAATTGTAGTTACATGCATCGAAATCAACCAGTTCAATTCTTTCAGCATGAGTTACAACGTATCATTTCATGCAAAATAACCTGATGAAAGAAATAGAAACGCGTATCCATCGATGAATCAACAGACGTTACTAAATTATCTATGTGCATAAATGAATTCTCATGTGAAACATAACAAAGCTGTTCGACTACTAGTATAATGCACATAAGGTGCAATGACAGAATCAAAAATTGTACAAATGACAGCAGGCAATTTGGCATACAAAGAAAAGGGGAAAAAATGACAACGAAAGGCAATGATAACGCAATTATGGATGAAACGGTGCGCTGCGTATGACGAATGCGAATGGAAACGATCGTTTCCCGTGATTACACGGGAACTCTATAATGATCGTCTGTAATTCTCGTTTCTCGTTCAACTGTAAGAAATTATATAGACGCGTATAAATGAACAGGGGGAACAGGTACGAACGCGTAGCATAATTATTATCTTCATGGGTTGGAAAACAATAAGCTCGAGCCGAACGCACGGTCATCGCCGTGAAACTTTCGGATTCCTTGAATAATTCTGCTCTTCAGAATTGATGAACAAATCTTTGATGAAACTAGTCTCAATATTCAATTTGACACACACTACTCGCTTTTCTATTATAATATTCAAAGTCTCGATGGAAGAAAAGCAAGAATGATCAATTCCAATAACGAAGAAACGACTCTTCCTATCTTGAACGGAATTTTGAG